GTAGTAGTCATGGAATTTGAACTGAATTGCTCCCACTCCCAATTCTAAGAGTGGATTCTGATGTATCCTATCCCACTGCCACAGTGGTTGGTTTGGGGGTGGGCGCGTATTTCAGATTTACGTCAATCAACATTTCCCCAGTCATAGGGATCCAGCTATTTAGGATCGCAATTAGAACAAACATAGGACTTTTGTTCTAAGGTTATAGAAGGCAACCCTCTTTATCTCTGGCCATGAACAAGGTCACAATTGCAGTCCCAATTACTGCTGGCAGTCATTCTATGCCCACGAGGAAATCAAGCCCTTGGAAGAAGACAACACTGTTGATAGAAGAATGACAAGATGGAAAGATACTGTGTGCTGATAATGTCACTGATTAACCCTGAGGAAACTTTGACTTCTGGGCCTTCTAGCCACAGGAGGCAGCAATTTCCCTTGTGAGTTAACTACTATGAGTTGCCTTTTCTGTTACTTGTTACTGAAATTACCCTTCACAGTACAATATCCATCAAAACATATTCATCCAGGGGCTGGCCTGGTGGAGTAGCGGTTAAGTTTGCATGCTCCACTTCAGTGGCCCAGGGTTCACTGGATAAGATCCTGGGTGCAGACCTATGCGCTGCTTATCAAGCCATGCTGTGGCAGGCGACCCACATGTAAAGTAAAGGAAGATGCACGTGGATGTTAGGTCAGAGCCAATCTTATTCAGCAAAAAGAGGAGGATTGGCAGCAGATGTTAGCTCAAGGCTAACCTTCCTCAGGAAAAAGACCCCAAAACATATTCATCCATTTGACTGTGAGCTATAAGAAAATCTTAGTGGAGAGACGGCCTTTCTAAGAAATGGCTTCTTAGGATTTCCTACTGTCATTTTGTTTTGTTTTACTATTTGGGACTAGATTCTTTATTGGGAGTATAAGGAAATTGTTAAAGAAATGAGAATATAATATTTGGATAAATTATTTTTAATTTTACAGCTAACGAATCTCTAAGAAATTTTAGTAGGGACAAAAAGGACATAGATTCTACAGAGCCTACGGTAATGATGCATTAGAAAAAGCATGAAGAATATTTAAAAATAGATGAACAGTAGAAACAACCTAAAAAAGAAATTTCTCAGTCAGTGTAGCAGTCTAACAAGTATGTCTTAGAACCATGACGGTTTTGAACTACGCCTCTCTGCAATACACTGTGATAGGCACATACATAATAACAAATGTTTTTAAACAAGTGAATGATTTACTCTCAGGAAGTGAATAACTATAAAAGAAGAGTCAGTCAATCATAGAAGAAACACAAATATGTACTCACCAAGACAGTACTAATAGTTTAAGGGAAGCAATGAATATAGGCAAAAGAATGGAGGAGATTGTGCTGTAAGTTGAACAACTGGGTTTCCTGGGTAAAAATTAAGAATAATAAGAAAAATATGGGTGCATGAATTAGGCTTTTACTGGTTGGAAGCAATAGGAACCAATTCTGGCTAAGAAAAGAAAAAGGGAATTAATTGGCAGTATATTGGGGCTCATGAAATCAGCAGAGGCTGCCGTTAGGGTTAGAAATGGGCAGAAACCAAGGCCATTCCAGATGCTGAGAAGCAGGACTCATAACAAAGAAAACTCACGTCAGGATGTAGCCATTTAAGAGAGGTGACAAGGTGGAGGATAGTGGTGATCATTTCAGTAGAGATTATGAATGTTTGGTTGGAGAAGATTGAAGAGAGATGGAAAGAAAAGCAACTCTTTTGATGAATTTTTCGGTGAAGGGGAGCACAGAAAGACATGCGGTCAAGAGAGGTTTGTTCATCTTCTACTGCTGCCATTTGGCGTGTTTCTATGATGATAGGACTGAACCCCTGACGAGAAAGCTCTTCCCTGCAAGCGTGCCTAGGCTGGTTCCCTCTCATTCTTCATGTCTCAGTTCTACATCACCTTCGCCTCCTAGTTGTATATCCTTGTTTTATTTTCTCCATAGCTCTCCTCCCTGTCTGAAATTCTCTTCTGTATGTTTGATTGCCTCCACCAGCTAAACTATGAAATTAATGAAGGCAGCAACTTTGTCTTGCTTACCACTGTATCACCAGCATCTAGAAAAATGCCTGTCACATAGCAGAGCCTCAATAAATACTTGTAGGATAAATAAATAAGCAAATGGATAACTAGAACTTCAGCTATTTCTTTCATTCTTATATCACCAATTTGAGATTGAAAGTCCCAGGATCCAGTTGCTGAATAGCCAAGTTCAGATGTTATGTAGTCCTTTGTCTGGACAGAGTCTGTCCCTCCTTGGGTTATGTGGTGGGGGCTGAGAACACGAATTTACTGTCCCTCCAAAACCCAATACGAGAGCAGAGAGACAATTCCCACAGGGAAATCAGGGTCTATTTGGGATCCCCAAATGACAAATGCTCCTGGCAGTACAGAACTGTAAAGAGGAAGAAGGAATGGTTGCTTCCTGCCATACAAAAAGCCATAAATGAAAAGTCTACATTCCCGCTCATCAATTAACAGCTTTTAATTTCATTCCCATGTTTCCTGAGGAAAGACTTTAGGACCAAGGAGTAGGTAAGTCTCTGCTCACACAGATAAACATCTCCTCCATTAAAACATGCTGGAAGCCTGGAGATAATTAGACCCACTGTGTCAAGCAATCAGCAACACAGGGAAGAGGTCACAAAAAACAATGACAAGAGAGCTGGCTAATTCTTGAGAGAAACAAAAGGAAATTCTTTGCAATCAGTTGAAAGATGTTTTGGTTGTTGTGGTTTGTGGACTGATCTGTACTTATTTTGTGGTGTTAACATTGGTTTTTATCTCACTTTCACTCTCACCTCTTATCCTCCGCCAGCACAGACACACCCAGACTCCCAGACACAGGCACAGTCACGTTGTGTCTATCACAATAAAAGCATAGTGAGCTTCCCTAGGTCAACTCTGTGAGGAGTGGTCATTTTTCTCCGCAGGATTGAACCTCCCCAAGAGGAACACCTACGAGGTACTTCTGTTTGCTTTTATTTGTTTATTCTTTTCAATGTTTGGGATCTAAGTTACAAGAGCCCTTTGGAAATCCAAGACCTGCTTCATTTTCCCTTTTTCCAATAGAACATTAGTGGCTACCAGAATGATAACCTTAATAGAACGGACAGTTTTATGAGAACAGGGACAGTATTAATTTTATTCAAGCCTAGCACCATGCCTAGTGCACAATGGGTTTTCAATAACTATTTGGTTAGTAAGTGAATAAATAATTGAAAGTGAGTGGACAGATGAAGGCCAAAGGGTTGTTTCCCAAGCAGAGACTCTAAAGACCTCCGCTGCAGCTTTCTCTCCTCGCCTCAGTCACAGCGCTTCACTGGAAATCTACCACCTCTTCTGTCTTGCTCTTTCCTCATAGCTTTGTTTCTTCTTCTACGCTCCTTTCTGGTCTTACCGATACTAACTCATCTAAGTTTGATAAGGCATCCTAATAAGCATTAGCATGAGAACACACAAAGTACATATATTCCTTAAAATTAATCATTATGTGCACATGTATGATTTCTGATTCTAAGAAAAGAGGCATTCTTTTTTTTTTTATTGAGTTATTGATAGGTTACAATCTTGTGAAATTTCAATTGTACATTAATGTTTGTCAGTCATGTTGTAGGTGCACCACTTCACCCTTTGTGCCCACCCCCCACCCCACCTTTCCCCTGGTATTCACTAAACTGTTCTTGGTCCATAGTTTCAAATTCCTCATATGAGTGGGGTCATACACAGATTATCTTTCAAAAGAGGAATTCTTAACAGGCCACAAAGTAAGTTTTCAAATTGTGCATAGTAAGCTACAAGAGCCTCAACAAGCATGCAGCGATTTTTTAGTTTAAAATACTGTTAATGGTGGAAGTGCCAATGACTTACACATATTTTTAGAAGTTTCGTTACAACATCCCTTTTTTCCAATAGACTTAGAGGAAAAAGCTGTAGTTTTTCTTAAAATCAGTTCAAGTTTTAAAATTAAGACCACTTCAATGACTTTCACTCCTAAGTACTTTTCCTTAACCTAATCATAAAAGATCATCATGAATTTCATTATGCTCAGTCAAGAATTCTGTAGACCAATATGTCTTCAGTAAACGTACTCATTTCTTCACCACCACCTTCAGAAACCCTTCCCCCACAGTAATCATTTAAGGAGGAGTAACAATGGAAAAGTCACTTTGTTTCTCAAGGACTTTTTGAAAGTCTGTTTTTGTACCAGCCATATCTCCCAGCCTCTCTTTTTGATCAGTGAGATCAAGATAAGATTGATAACCATTATAAATAATTAGTGCCTACATAGCCTTTCACCAGCCATTATTGAGATGACCTTCCTTTCATAAATTGTTATGAACCAAATAGATGCTGAACATCTGCACAGTCCTCTAAAATGTACTAAAGCATAATCCACTCTGTGGGTTTTTTAATAAGATGGGCTAAGGGAGCAGATCAGAATGTTAGAGCTGGAAGGAATGACAGAAACAGCTCAAGTGAGTCTTTTATAAATAAGAAAATGAGGGCCTAGAGAGGTGAGCTGATTTTCTGAATTCTACACAGGCTGCTAACTAGATGTGACACCGATACCCCAATCCATGTCTTTCCACATCTACCTACTTACTGGTGATTTTTTCACCCAGAACTCCAACTTCTCAAAGTTCACAACTTTATTCATAAGGTTGTTTTACCAAGGATCTGGGTGACTTAAAGTTCTTTTGGAGAAGTAAATGCTAATTACACTCTTTAGTTGATCAGTTCCAACTATTCCCACTGCTATGGCAGTTATTTGATCTATATGCTCCATCCCTAGAAACAAATTCTGTGGTTAGAAAAATTGCTGTCACACCCACCTAATTTATTTTGGGATGGTCTGTGTGACTAGGTTTGAGTGAGCCCAGGACATGAGGGATCAGAACCCAGGAGTGATTCCGATCTGTCCACTGAGGAGGTCCTACATGTACTTCCTGCCAGAGCAGGAAGTGGAGTGAATATGTGCTGACCTGGGTCCACGAATGCATCCAGGGAGAGACGTAGCAACTGGCTGGGAGAAAGTGGCTGGTGTGTTCGAATAAAGCTACAGGGAACAAGGAACAGTGGCTGCAGATGAGGGGTGACTGGGAGCAGAAGACCAGCAAATTGGGCACAATTTATTACCTCTGCAACCCTGTGTCAGGAAAGAAGCCTTAATTAGGATGTAGCCAGGTAGGGTCTTCTGTCTGGGGCCTGTGGGCCCCAGGGAAAGAATATCGTAAAAATAATTGTCTGAGACAAAAACCACTGCTTAGCCTATAAACCAATCCTTTTCTGTGTATGCATCCCTCTCAGATAAGCAGTGTAACTGTTTCCTTAGCACTGGTTTTGGAGGTAAACATGCCGTGGTTTGAGCACAAAACAGCTGCTTCTGGCCCTCTTTGAATGCGTTTTCCAGAAATGATGAATATGCGGTGATTCTTCATCTGTACTCAGGCCTGGATCTGATTTGTGAGATGTTTTGAGGGGTTACTGTGGCTTTGTTATTGAGATTTTTTTTTTAGAAAGTTAACTGTCCTTTCCACAGCCATTGTGGTTGCTTGGCAACAGGGGACAGCAGAGCAGTAACAGGGATTCTAAAACTCTAAGCGATGGGGCTAGTTGGTGTCTGTCCCATGGACAGGGTACCCCAGTGGGCTTGACTTGAGATGGGAGAATGCTATAGCAAGAAATCTGTGGCCCCAGAGTCTGAAACCCCAGAGAGAGGCAGGTGAGTTCCTAGTTCCTCCTGTCCCAAAAGAAATCATGGGAATTTCTAGATAAAGTAGCCTTTGCTCGGTACTTCAAAGAAAACCTTTCTGTAACGTCTGGGGGAAAACATCAGACAGATTTTTCATCCTTTCCTGGAGAATGACCCCTTTCTTTGAACACTACTATCTTCCAAGATTGTAGGGCAGGCCATGACACACAGTAGGTGTTCAATAAATATCTGTTGAATGAATACAATATCCCTCACTTGCTTTTCTCAAAATCGCATACTCACCCCAACCATTTTACTGGTGTGGGAAGGGGGCGCTGAGCCAGCTGTTTTTCAGGACCATTCTAATGAAATGTCACCTTCAACGCTCCCTTGCCAGGAGATATACAGAAAAGAAGCTAGGCCATCCAACTCTCCCCAGATAAAAACCCAAACCAACTCTGGCTACAAATATGGAAGTACAGTTTCACCTCTATAAATGATCTATGGTTAACTGCTAGAAAATTTGCATCTTCGCACAATACTCATTTCCCTTTCAAATGTGAAAATACCTTCCATTTAGAATTTTCTTTTAGACCTTGAATAAGGGATGACCATGCCTTCTCTGCAGGAAGAGCTGGATCTTGGTGGGTGGTGTCCTGTGTGATATATTCATGTGTAACTGCAATTCTGCTTTGTTAAGCTTTAAAATGTGTTTTCATTACATGAAATGTGTGGGTCTTGTTTTCATTTACTTTTGACCTTGGGTCTAGGGTCTATGGATGATGTGGGAAATTCACAAATCCCACCAAATTTTATGTAAAATATTGTTTCTATGTGCAAAGGAGTCTATGAATCTCAAAAGATTAACAATCTTTGGGAGGAAGGAAGTTTTCTATTAAAGAAAATCAAATTTAGCAAACACTCAATTTCTTTTAATTTCCCTGAACATAGCACATAAAGAGAAAATATGTCAATGTGCTGATAATTGGAGAGGTGAACGTAATGGTACCAAATGGGAGAAAAATGCCCTGTGATTAGCAACTTCGAAATGAATAGCCCAGTGTACAAGCAGCAGGGGAGCCAAGTGGAAAGAAAGCAGGACTTTGCTTTCACTGTAGATTATCATTGGTGTTTTTGTTCTCCTGGTCTATGGAGCTGAGTGTTCTGTGCAAGAAGGGAGCAGGGCTCTGAGGCAGGAGACAGTGGTGTCCCATACTACCTCTGTTAACCTGTAGGTGGGTTCAGTTCAGCTCCCTCACTTCTAAGCAGGACCCATCTCGTCCCATGTGCCTGTTTCCCTGCTCTACTTTCCTCTCCCCTCTTCTTCTCATGCGCTTGAGACAGACCTTCTCCATAGTTTATATAAACCAAATGGGAACTTGCTCCTATGTTGTCTAGGCAAAGGAGGGTGAGGCCTTGGATGCAATTAACTTGGGGAATAAAAAAAGCATTTTCCCAGGAAATCCTATCCTATATGAATTAGGTACAAGTAGCTGTATTTCCAAACCAATTTTACTAAAATCATTTATTCACATGGACTAATTGGTGGCTAATTATTACTCCAATTTGACATGAAAAATGTAGGGTAAAAAGTTTGGAGAACAGATAGGAAGATATTTCACTGAAAGGATGGAAATGTTTATGTGCTTGTCAAGTACTGAGAAAAAACAACTGTAAGGCTTATATGTCATGTTATAACTCCCTGCCAACAGAAATTTAAAGAATTTTTTTCAGTTTTTCCATGAATCCTGAAGTAAGAAAACCCTGGAATAAAAACAAGCTTCATAAATACATTTGTTAATTCTAATTTGTTTTCTCTCAAGGCTAATAGGCTTTCTAAAGGTTTTTTCCCCTTAATTATGGTAAAACATGACTTGTATTGTGTATGCTGAATTACTATGGTTACTCTGAGGCCATGACTCATGACCTTTAAATATTATTGTCAGGCAGCCAAAGCTCCTTCACTTTGAAATCAGTAGTTTTGTTTGAGGCATTATTAAAAGAAGGTCGTTTCCAATAGTACTTTTTCATATATATTTGTGGCACATCTGAATATGCACATAAGGGTATTATATTCACACTGTTTCGTTTTGTTTGGCTTCATTCAGTGGCACAATGTTAATTCCTTGTGTGGTATGTCATTGGGCAAATAAAAAATAAATAAGGCATAGTCCTCGTCCTTTATGTGGTGTCACTGAGAAATGCAAAAACATAGGTAGACAAACAATTACTTACATCCTGAAATGTAATAAGGGCTATAAGAGAGAGATGTCCAAAAACTGCTTGTAGACACAGAGGCAAGAAATACTTCTGATCGGTAGGATCAAAGAGGCCTCTGGAGGAGGCAGCATTTGAGTCATGGTGTGAAGAATGGGTAAGATTTTAACAAGCAGAAAGGAAAGCTTGAGTTTTCTGGTCAGAGGAAACAACCGAAGAAAAGGCTAAACACATACTCTGGAACTATTGGACAGTAAAGTCTGGTGAAACTATGAGTTTTCTGAGATGCATTGATAAAAGATGAAATTAATTAGAAGGTGAGAGGGGCCAGCTTACTAAGGTCTTTCAAAACCATTGGTTGTTTTGCCTAGCAACTGTGATACCCAAAAGATTGTTTTTCATTTCATGATAAAGAGGTACTGTCAAGTAGAAAGCACCAAAATACTGTTTTTAGCTGATTTAAGTATGACGTGAGAAAAGCAATTACATCTCTCAGAACCCCAGTATGTCCTTCCACTCAGTGGGAATTTAATTAATTTTGTTCAAGAGTCACTGATTACTTTGTGAACATTTTTAAGTGGTTTTAGATTTTTGGAAAAGTGAGAGACATGCACAGAAATATGGAAATAATACATTCATTCGGGGGAGAGTAGGATAGAAAATAATAAAAGTACCCCTGCATTTTAAAGTAAGCCTTATTAGTTGGCAACAGTAAAATGAGACTTATTAAGATTTGAGGTTTATTAAATCATTCATTTATGCATTCATTCATTCACTCAACAAGTATTTATTGACCATCCTAGCCCTCTTCAAGATGCTGAGGATAGAGTAACAAAAATAACCACAGAAAATAGTCCCTATCTTTAAGGAGTTTACATTTTCAGTAGAGAGGAGACACAATAAATATAATGAACAAGCAAATTATATAGTATGTTAGAAGGTGGTAAGTACTGCAGAGAAAAATTCAGCAAGATGATGAGGATGGACAAGGGAGTGGGGAGTTCAATTTGAAATGAGCTGCAAAGGGTTGGCCTCCCGAGAAAGTGATATTTGAGCAAAGACAAGAAGGAAGTGGGAAAGAGCCAAGTGGACAGGTGTGGAGAAAGTTCCTGGCAGAGGAACTTAAGATGGGAGTCTATAGGAGGCTGAAGAACAAGGAGGAGGCCAGTGTGACTTTGAGGGGAAAGATTGAAAAGGAGACTGTTAGGTGAATTCAGAGAGGAAAACGTGGAGTTGTGTGGGGGAGGGTCAGCAAGGAGTGGGTTGAAGTCCCAGGTGGGTGGGAAGAGTGAATGGCAGACACCTGTAGGAGCATTTTGGCCATTACAGGGCCTTTGGCTTTTATTAAGAGTAAAATTGAATCCCTTATTGGAGGGTTTTGAGCAGAGGAATGAAATGATTTTTCTTATGGTTGATGTGTTGAAAATAGAATGTAGGAGGCAAAGACAGAGCAGAGAAGGCCATTTAGGATGTAATGCAGTAATCCAGGCAAGAGCTAATGGTAGCTTGAGGCTTGAACCAGGGCGTTAACAGTGAAGTTGATGAGAAGTGGTCAGATACTGGATATATTTTGATGGTGGAGCCAAGAATTTCCTGTTGGATAGGATACGGATTCTAAGACAAAAAGAGGAGTCAAAGTTCTAGCCTGAGTAACTAGAAGGATGATGTTATCAACTGTGGTGGGGAAGACTGCAAGTAGAGCAGATTTGAGGTGGGAATGAGAAGTCAGGTTCTGGAAATGCTGACGTTGAGATATTTATTAGATGTCCTGGCGGAGATGCCAAGAAGGCAATTGAATGAATGAATCTGGAATTCAAGGGAGAAGTCTGGACTGGAGATATGTATTTGGAAGTGATCAGCATATTGATGATATTTAAAGCCATGAGGTTGGATGAGATCCCAAGGGAGTGAACGTGAATAGAGGAGAGGAAGCCTGGAGCACGCAAGGGTGAGAGCTCGGGAGATAAGAAAGAACCATCAAAGGAGACTGAGAAAGAGCAGCAGGTGGCACAGGAAGGAAACCTGGGACCTTAGGATGTCCTGGGAGCCAAGTGAAAGAAGTACTTCAAGGAGGGAGTGATGACTCATGTCAAAAGCTGTCAAGTAAGGGGAGTTGTGACAAATGACGACCGAATATAGTAAAGTGGAGGTCACTGGTGAATACAGTAAGTGAGGTTTCTGTGGAATGGTACCCGTGACAGTCTGAATGCAGCGGTTTTAACAAAAAACAAGAGGAAAGGAATTGGAAACAGTGAGAATATAGTTTTGCTATAAAGGGGATCAGAGTAATCAAGCAGAAACTAAAGAGTTAAGTGGGTTCAAGATACAATAAATAGCAGCATGTTTGTAAACTATTGGAAATGATCCAGGAGAGAGAGAGAAATTGAGAAAGAGTGTAGGAGACAAAGAATTCCCTAAGCCTGCTGTTTCATAGGATTATATGCTTTCCGCCCTCTGTTTTTTTCTTAGTTGAAGTAAGAGATTTTGCAGGTTTTCAGAACAGATTGTACTGTTCAGACTGCTTATTCTCAAGAGAACATTGAAAGGCTATTTTATCTTCTTCAAGTAAAGTTTACGTTCCATAGTTTTGATTCCTTTAGAAATGTTTAGAAATTGACATTTGGAGGAAACACTTTGGAAAATTTAGCTTCAACGTTACAGTGTAAAGATCCATTTAAGGTGGGGCGTGTGTGCGTGTGTGTGAGTGTATGTGCCTCTGAAATAAAATTTTGGAATTCTAAACTCTTACTTTATTTCAGCATCACGTCTGGAAGTTTGGAATCAGATACACAACAAAGTAACAAAATATCGGTAAGAAATGAAGTTTGTATGATTTATTTTTCTTTAAAAAAAAGCATTACAGTTAATGAAACTGTAACTTCCTTAATTAACACTTAAATTTTCCTCATATAGTTTCGTTTTCACATTTTGCTAGTAAAGATCTCAAAAATAAAATATAGAATATTCTTTTTCAATTAGAATGAGGAAAATGGGCCAGAGGGTCAACTAAGGGACGTTATCGGGCAGCAGGGAGGTTAGGTGTGGTGCGGTGTGGCCTTTCCCATTTTCACTTGTAACAAGCCCCACACTGTTCTCTGTGGCCCTACAATATTATAGACATCTTGGGTTGCTTCAAACTGTTTGCTTATATGTGAGGAAATCCTGGAATTCAGACATAATACAGAGTGCATAAGTTGCATTATTTGGTTTATTTAGGCCTGGATTTAAATCAGTCTATTCCAGACATTTCCATATCATGCTCTGTCAAGTCAGCTGATGACACACTTAGCCTGACCTTTGAAGTCTTCTTTCTTCCATGGACTCTGTTATGGCCCAGGACAGCTGGGTCCTTTCCACCAGAGCCTCATCTAGTCCTTCCTGAGGGCTCAGGTGATAACTGTGTGGGTTGTTGAGAAGTGTTGAACCTGGGTGATGGGTACTCGGAGGCTCATTATACTAACTCTCTACTTTTATGTAAGTTTGAGAATTACCTTTCAAAAAGAAAAAATAAGCTATCTGTACACCCTTGATTCAGTTTTAGTAAGGACCCCCTAGGCTCCACCCATAGATGATTTCTGGAACAATTCTTTCAGCTCTATTGTAGAGGCAGTATGTATAGAAGAAAGATCAAAAGACTAGGAATCAGGCCCAACTTTGCTACCTCCAAGCTGTGTGAAGATAGCCAAGTCATTTAAATTCTCTGAGCCTTATTTTTCATCCAGAGAATGAGGATGATGAAACTTTAACAGTCTACTTCAAATAAGATGTTTGGAATGTGAGAATGCTTGGTAAAGTACCTACAAATGTACAGAAGGATAGTTATCTGGAATCTATGGCGTTCAAATGGGCTTCCCTGTGGGCCAGGGCACTTTGCTATTTAATTTCTTTACTTCTTTCCGGGTTCAACAGTTCTGCTCTACCACTCTGGTCCCAGCCCAGCATCGCCAGCTAAGAACAATTGATCTAGTGAGGTGCATAATCAGAACCTCACTTCTGCACAATTATCTGTGTTCGTAAACTGTTAACGTCTCCTTTCTAAGTATAGTTGATTTAATCTGGCCCCAGACCAACTAGACAGCTCTCCCAAAACATAATGCGTGTCAGGAGGAGGGTTTTCGTTGAAGAAATGTAAGTCAAAGGGAAACCAAATTAGATTAGTAGAATATGACTTTAATTAAAAGTTTGTTTTTTAACTATAGTGATAGTTTACTATCAGCTAGGAAAAGAAAACCTAATAATGAGTTTTTACTTTATACAGTGGAGCTATTTACAGTTCTGTTGCCTAAAGAAAGAATACTGCTCACCAGCACTATATGAAAACATTTTTTCTCTGGTTGGTTGGAACCCTTGGGCTAGAGGTTAAATTGGAGTTTTGGAAACGGGAGGCTTCAGCTCAGCAATCGCTGTGAACTGCCTTTTCCTCTAACAATGCTAATCAGCACCCTAGAGGTAACCCTCTCATTGGAAGCAGAGACACTGAAAAGGACAAGGTGCCAATTACCACATTTAAGATTTCTGCCTAGGGCTTCCAATTAGCTTCCTGCAGTTCAGAATCTATGTTCTTTCAATTTACATTTAACATAGTTGGGAGCCCTGGGGCTTAAAGTAGCTGGGTCTGCTTTAGTTACTGTATTTTTACATTGCTGGAAGAATACATTCAGCTGGAGGAGGTTAGGCTTAGAGACCTCAAGGCCGTAGGTTATCCACAATTAGTACTGCGTCCTTTTCACCACACAATCCCTTTTAAATCCTGAAAGTTGTGGAATGATTACTCAGCAGAACCGATTCTGCTATGGACATGAGGAGCCAAATTGCAGGCGGATCTCAGAGGCCCCTTTTAAATAGTTCTGGCTAGCTTCGGTAGAGAAGATTGAGATGAAGGATGAAATCTTTTCAATTCTGTGAAGATGTCTTGACCACCAGCAGAATGAAACACCCTCTACCTTGGCTGCACCATCTGGTGCTGGTGGTTCTCTTCTGTTTCTACTGCCCTGGTCTCGGAACACTAACGGTAAACTGTGCATTCTTAGAGTGAGCACTGGCTTTATTCATCTCTGTGTCACTAGGACAAAGTTTCAGATACCAAATCTGTGCTCAATCATTATCATTTGATTTAGAACAAGTGGACTGAGCTCGAGGCATAGCACTAGGTGATTGACAGATGCCAGCTCTCTGAATCCTTACAACAGCAGATGGGGATGGTTTCCAGACTCATCGCTGTTATATTGATATTCTTCTTCTTCTTCTGATTATTATTACCACTTTAGAAATTAAGAAATTGAGGTTCAGGTAGGTTGAGGGAGATTCCAGCTGTTGAGTGATCAAAGAATGTGTTCACTATATAATAGGAACATTACGGGAAAATCCAGTTTGCGTTAGTTTGTTTAGACCCACTTCTCAGGTGTGAGGTTGTCCCCATTTATCTGGACCCTTTTCCTTGGGGCCTCTTGGAGGATTAGAATGCTATTTGAACTGTTGCCTTTGCTCCATGATAACATCCTCTGACAGAGAACAGCTAGTGCATACAAATCATTTATTTGAAACTGTTTAGGAAAGAAAAATTCTATTGCAGAGAGGCTTGACCTGAACTGGACACCTGGCTCAGGATTTCTCCCCCTGAGCTATTCTTGAGAACTCTGACACATAGAAATGAATGATGTAAAACATATGATGCCATTGTTTAGGTGGAGGGGTACATCCAAGAGTGAGCAGGTGGGTATGAATTCATGAATACAAGAGCCTGTACGAAGCATTTCACTTGTTGTGCAAATCTTAGCTTACATTAAAACCTCTTTAGCCATTTAGCTTTCAAATTGTAATTTAGTGATGACTTTATTAAAGAATCATTATTTTAAGTACCAAAGATATGGAAGTACTTTTTTCTTTTTCCTTTGTAAGGTCAAGTTCATAGTACACTACGTAAGAAGTCAGCTTTACAAAACAACCTTAAAGTAGCTGGAAGATTTTACCTTTGATAAACAGCAGAAGGCAAGCTCTGCCTTAAATTGTGTCGAATCATATAAATTCTGTTCCTTTAGTACTTTGTGTAATATAGTATTATTTTTGCAGGAAGGATATATTTGGTCACATTTCCAGCATTTCTATATCTTAACATTCTAAAATGGCTTTCAGAAGGTTCTTCCCTTGATGAACAAACTTTCAAATCATTAATTAATCACAGTTGTTAATATATCACTTCTGCTTTAAATGAACATTTCAAGTGATTTAAAGGAAATATTCCTATTCTTAACATAAAATCAATATAGAACTGTATTTCCACATATATTTAAATATAAGGATTTGTTGCTGTTTCAGTGAATAGGCTATTTTTATTTTTTTTTTGCCACTCTAATAGGTAAGAAATATCTCAGAACTTTTTGGTTTGGATTTCTTTCTTTCTTCTTTCCTTCTTTCTCTCTCTTTTTCTTTTTTCTTTCCCTCCCTCCCTCCCTTCCCTTCCTTCCTTCCTGCCTCTCTTTCTTAGCTTTACTGAGGCATAATTGACAAATTTAAAGTGTACAAGTTGATGAGTTTTGACATATGTATGCACACGTGAAACCATCACCACAGTCAAGGTGATGAAATTACCCATCACCCCAGCTGGGTATTTCCTCTCCCACACTGCTCCCCACTTGCCTATGCCCGGTTTCCAGGGATGCACTGATCTGCTTCATGTTAGTATCTATTATTTTGCATTGCCTTGAGCTTTATGCAAACAGAGTCATACAGTATGTGCCCCTTTTGCTGGCTTCTTTCACTCAGCAAAATTATTTTGAAACTCAACCATGTTTTAGTATGTATCAATAATTCATTTTTATTGCTAAGTAGTATCCCATTGTATTGAAAGTATCAGTTTGTTTATCCCTTCATCTGTTGACTGACATTTAGGTTATTTCCAGTTTTTGACTCTTACAAATAAAACTGCTATAAACATTCATGTACAAGTCCTTGTATGGACATATGCTTTCTTTTCTCTTGGGTAAATACCTAAGAGTGAAATGGTTGAATCATATGATAGACGTACTCTTAATTTTCTTAAAAACTGTCAAACTGTTTTCTGAAGTGTTTGTATCATGTTACATTCCCACCAGCACTGTGTGATAGTTTTAGCTCATCCACATTTTCTCCAACCCTGGTAAGGTCAGCCTTTTAAATTTCAGCCATTCTGGTAGGTGTAGTAGAATCTCATTGTAGTTTAAATTTGCATTTCCTTTATAATTAATGATGTTGAGCACATTTTCATGTGCTTATTTGCCATCTTCATATCTTATTTGGTGAAGTAGCTATTGAAATCTTTTGTCCATTTTTAAGTTGTGTTTGTTTCTTATTATTGGGTTTTGAGAGTTCTTTATATATTCTAGGTACAAGTAATTTTTCAGATATGTGTTTTGCAAGTATTTTCTCCAGTCTGTGGTTAGTCTTTTCCTTCTCTTAACAGTGTCTTTAGAAGAGCAGAAGTTATTAATTCTGATGAAGTCTAATTTTATCAATTTTTACTTTCATGGGTCATGCTTTTGATACCTGACCTAAGAGATCTTTGCCCAAGATCACAAATATTTTATCCTTAGTTTTCTTCCAGAAGATTTATAGTTTTAGGTTTAACATTTAGATCTATGATTTATTTTGAGTTAATTTTACCTGATGATGACTCACACCTGAGACTCTCTCCAGGAATTTCCCTTGGCTGAAGGAGCTTTCTTGCCCCAAAGTCATTGCCCTTCATAGGATCAACTTGCATCCAATGGATGGTAGATACATGTCCACAAGACCTGGCCTCCTTCCTTTGATGGAGGACAATTCTGAAGGGCCAG